ATTATTGAAATTGAACATTCTATTTTACGTGAGTTTGAAACGTCGCTTAGAACCCATTTCGACAACTACTCTTAAAGCCATTAAATACTATTTTGAAGATGTCTCATTATATATTCATTAATTTGGATGAATCAATAATAATGTATTCAATATAGTATCATGAACTTAATATTATTGAATAACTATCAATTTGCTCGAACATTGCTCGTTTTTGTTTGTATATCGAGTTCAGTATTCCTTGTTCACAGACTGAAATCATTAACCTTACCTCCATTTTATATGCTTAAGTGGTCACATTGGTGAATGATTTTATAAAACTATTGTTAAATTCATGTTTACAATCAAGCGCCCTCAATCACTAAAAACTGAAACTAAATTGTGCATTCAAATATTCCCACAATGAAATTGGTCATCGACGAGAAATCTACGACGCATGTAATGTTTCATTTCGTAAATGAGATTATTTTACTAATGAAATATAAGTCCACATGTATATATATATATAATATACATATTACTGTTCTTCGCTGTTCTTCTTCGACCAACCTTTAATTTAAACATTTTAAACTGTAAAAACCTAAGACTTTTCAGTGACATTACATCACGAGGTAATGGCCACACGGCTCACCATATACAGGATTACGACGTGTGTTACATGTCCATTTGTCGTGACTCGCGTTTGTTTTATATTACATTGATGTAAGCCAACTAGCCAAGAGTGTGTGTGTTTTACTTGAGTGTGTATAATAGTATGTTTTTAACCTCGCTGACGAACGTAAATAAATTACAAATATATTGTCGTGTCTTGATACGAGGTGTCCGGGCATCGGTGATTCTCGCAGATAATTGGTCCTTCATTCAAATAACTAATACGCACAACAAATAGATTCAGTCTCCCGCCAATCCACTCTAGAGACCTTAGCCCAAGTTTGGTGTTTATTTCTTAGTAAGCAGAGCGTTATAACATAATATATTGACATATACATACATTTAACTTAAATAATATTAAACCAACCATATACACCTCCGTTAACATTATAATAACACATCATATCTACACGCGCGGTGATTGATTATATTCGGGTTCCATATAACTACGTGCATGTGATTACAATTGTTTTGAGTTCAAACCGGTTCGATCACAGGCTGAATACCGCCTAGACAAATTTCGATGGGTGTCCATAACAAAGTGCTGCCGTCAACTCACGCTATCTTCGACATAATCTATTACCATACTGATTACCTTCTTGGTGCATTTTAGGTAACACCTAGAGGAATTCTAGCGAAGTGTACTTTAATTGCGATAATGCGTAGAATGGGGATTAAAAAAATACGTCACAAATTTTCATTAAACGTATGAATAGGAGCTGTGCCCAAGTATGAGAGTTTGAGCTAATAATTATATCAACATTGCCGATCATAATAGTGCCTAGTATGATTAATGAAATTTTCTTAGTCCTATTATTATAAGTAGTCTTCACACATACATGTAAACAAACAATTTATAAGAGTACATTAAAGGTGGAATAACAATCATAATACGCCAAGAGACATCGCCATTGGAGGCGGGCGCACTCACAACTAAACTAAACGAACTGCCCTACAAACACGGTCGCAACAGATGATTTACCCATGTTAAGCACAAGCCTTTAGGAATTGATAATATTAATAATATTGTATGGTTACGTCCATGAAATGTATCCCAGACATGTAACAACATATACTCATAATATGTAGCTGAGCTGTACGAGCATCACCACACTCACTAGAAGTTTCAAAGCATATTAGGAAACATTGCTAATAGAGCAATTCTTATGTTGACATATATCAAACATTCATGGGTTGTAATTTCACTTTTTATTCATGTACTCCACTATCTTAACCTATACGGCTCTTACGTCCGCAGACAATTTGAATACTGTGATATTTTTTGGTGTCCATGGCATTTTCCATCCATATTATTTCATAAAAAAGGTTCCTTATTTTGAAAATAAGCATCAATTATTTGTAAACATTTTAACTCGCCAATCTTTATTCCGGGCGTTTTTTTCAGATGTATGCCATAATGAAATCGCAAATGGGTTTTACTGTCATATCTTATTTAGTAAATTGTTTTTAATATACGCAGTAAACGACTGTGAAATTCTCATATACTCTATCTCGAATTTGCAAGTTGAATGTTTCAGCAAAGCACTCCACTATAGGGGAACAACACCGTGCAGGCGGACGATTACATCCCCAGAATGGGTCGCAGTCGCATTGAACATAGAAAATATTGCCCACTCCAAGGTATATGACCGCTTCAATTTCCCAATATGATAGAAACATTGATATTTTGATATGCTTTTTACATTTCATCATTCAGAAAAGAAAGTATTGTATGTATTTGTTACCTAGTTTGTTTCATATGTAGTTGGGGCCTGCAAACGGATTTCATACCACTGGTCATACCACGTGAAATGACGAAACAAGCGATCGAAGATCCAGACCACTTAACAGGGTACTCAGTTCTTGAGTAAGACGACGTCAACTATATTCAAATATTTAAAACACAGTATGATTGGAGACTGTCTAAAGACTGTTATATACAATGATTTGACCGATGACCTACATTTGTGTGTGGACGACGACAAACCGGATAATATGTCTAAACTAATAAGTCCAAGTAAAAAAAAAATAATAAGTCAAAATTAATGAAATATACTGTCGGCATTTTTGTGATGGTAATAACCTATACACATATTTTTAAACACGTAGTTTGAGTAGTATATAGTGTGAATAATTTACTATGTGAAAGAACAGCTGTCTTTTAGCGTATTTCCTCCAATAAATTAACAGCTAATGAATGAATGAATGAATTAGCACTGGGTAGACGCTTGTCATGTCAAGGGTGAACCATGTTGCCAGTATAGATGTAAACATGATGGCATGTTTTCATCTCGCCGCTCAGTGTAATCACATGAGAAGTAGAACACGAACGCAGTCTGGCACAGTTGGAGTATGCGTGACAGACAGACAGATACCAGACGTTAGTTTTTGACAGTACTATGCGTGTGATTATATATAGCTTTACCTAACTGCTCAATACTGATACAAACATCTTTAACGCATACGGATACTTGTTAGTATTATTCTTGTTTATGAAATACGCACGTGTTATAGAAAGTATATAATCTACACATTTTACGGGAATCTAACTGACGCGATGTAAAACATTTCAATCCGCGCCAGCTGCCGTACTTAGGAATGGTATTTATAATGACGTACGTACTTAGCTACGTAATACATCACATGTATAATTGTCATTTAAAAACATTTTGAATAATTTGTGATTATATTGTTATGTTGGTCTTCAGTTATATGTAGCATTCCACGCCAGATTCAAAACCATATGATCTAATTTTGTTTGTATCAGCATATAGTTGTATATTAGCATATGTAGTTGTACATGCAATGTCAGTTTCGTTTAATTTTAATTATTGAAGTTGTCATCAACACGCTTTCACTATAAGTCAAACATTGTTGTCAAACTGTCAAATTAAGTGTTTATATGAAAGATGATTGGATTATATTAAATTAATGAAAGACTCCTACAGTATGCTGGTATCGATTCAAAGGCTGTAAACGGTAAGCGAGAGTATTTGGTTGCGATATAAGACCTTTCTAGGTAAAAGACTAGGATTAAAAACATTCCGTTTTCGACATTGTGAAATTTCAGATTTATATTAAAAATAATTCATAACGAAATGTATTCCGTAAGCACTCATAACTATTTTTTATAACTACCGATTACTCAAGAACAATAAAAAATGATAATTTGCTATATTCTATATATGCCTTTTATTTTTCTTGAATTATTACATGAAAGAAGCTGAATGGAATTACAAATTATGTAGTGTATTCAACAACTCATGTATGAACAATAACTTTTATAAGTATGACTTTACTTGGTAAAAATACCGTATTTTTCTGTATGAAAACGAATTTCACAATGTCGAAAATGTCGAAGTGTTGTGAATTAATACACTTGGTGAATGATAATTACAGAGCGTAATTTCATGTGACGGCATGTTTTTGTGCGTAAGCACTTGTAAAGTTGTGTTAGGATAGTAATCAATTACTATTTTTGAAAAGATCTATCCCACCTATCGGATTATAGCTGTCTAAAATATATTGTAATATGTACACAGTCATATAGTTAAAGAACCAAATGACTGGCTCCTTGCATTTGGTGGCTCTTTCATTTTTCCAATAAGTAACATAATTGAAACCTAAATGACTGTCACTGATTTGTGTTGACTTCTTGGTGGAACATATTTTTACTGAATAATCTTTCTTACCAGTACTACTGTAACTTAACGCCTATTGTGAAATATCACCGACTACATCTAACGACAACTCTGAGGTTCTTCCAGTTATTCACTAGAATAGATTGTACTTTGTATATTGTATTGTTTACTATTAATTGTCTGTTTCGTTGTTTACTCCGATGAGACGTGATTATATTATACATAAAAAGAGACATGCACGTATCACTCGTACTAATCGCATCGGTTCTCGTGAGTACACGCTACCTATATATTGTTTTAGTTGTATTTGCCATCGTAGTTTTACTATATGCAGGAGATGAATTATAAGACGTTACTGTTCATTTATTAACTGCAAGACAATTGCCAGTGAAATGAACATTCAAAATATAGGTTTATTATTAATCAACTCAAAATATTAGTTTATTGTTATTTAACTCAAAAAAGAGTCGATCAATTGAATTTTATATCTAACATTCTGTACATCTTCTATAATATGACGTTTTTTGGAAAGCATATGACGGTTACATAAAACATTGCTGTTTTAACTGATAAGAAAATATGTATAACGTTATATACATTATATGTTAATTAAAATGAATACTAAATACATTCAATACTATACCAATTACATTTTAATTGCCATTATGGTTACATGATTTATAATCTATAGAAAACTAAGGATACTTAGCCCTGTATTTATTTATTTACTAACAGATATGTACATCATTTAGTTTACTGATGACAATAATTATTCCGATGTGGAGATACATTTTATCTATTCATGCAATATTTCCGATTAACTACAAATAATACACATCAGTTGGGTAGTTAGTATTAATTGGAACATTGTTAAGTAATAGTAGTGTCAGTAGGGTTAATGCCATGTAAAATAGTGTATATATTTCATTCGTTGTCTTCATTATCATCTATCACATTTTTTATCCTATATCTCATCAGCGGCATCTAGAAGTAAAATAAAGTTGCAGGTGTTAGTCAATGTTGAAAGCATGATATCCTATTTTACATAGGTCAATCACGTGCCTTCAAGTATAGATTTGCGTATACAATAATATATTTTAAACAGCACAAGGCAAATGTCTCTATTTGAAGACGTTGATGACATAACAGAACCACAGATCAATACATTGTTTTAATTTGATAAACAGATTATAAACATTATGTGATTAGCGAGGTATGAACAATTATATACGCAGTGTCTCACCCTGGATCTGGATCAGGTGCTTTGAACGCCGTCGCCAAAGCGTCAATGGATTCATAACCTTGGAGTTCGTCTGTCTCCGTATCATTTCCATTATAGTTGCCACACATCCCACACAGATTACCGATAGCATCCGGGTGCGTTAAGATGATATCCACCATGTGTATCTTGCAATCGAATACGACTTTGTACTGACCGTATGATTCTATAGTAAATATGTTTCCTTCTTTGTGTACGCTTCCATGTGCCGGCCAAATATAAGGAAATGTCGTCCATTCCCGACCATTCAACTGTTCAAATATTGAACGAATAAAATTAATGCAATGATTGTGTTAATTTGTTCCGCACTTATCTTGTTGTTTTTGAGACATATACACACGCATATCATATATACCATGATGTAATCACGTGACACATATCGACACTTCACCTTACATATTACATTCTATATGCGTTGTATATTTGCATTGAACTAATATTTTTGTTTTCGAATCTTGCTCTCGAGTTTTGTAATTAACATTCCTAATTTTTGAGCTTGACATTCACGTCCATTCATGCCCGTGTTACTATTATAAAATGATGGTGATTGTATGATGCTAAATTACCACTGACCTTGAATGAGCAATCATCCGGAATGACCTCAGTAAAATGACGAGTACCAAAGCGACGTAATATTAAACTTATCACCTGGGTATGTCCAACCTTTTTTGGATTTGTCTCTCTGGTAGTGACTGTAATTAGTGGCATAGGTCTAGTTACCCCCTCCCCACACCACGCGACAACCTTGTAAGAACAGAATCCCATATAGGTGTACTTGTATCCGTCAAACGTCTCGAAGTGAGGATCACCCTTAACGATACAATCTACAAAAAAACATTAACTGAAATTAACATCCAGAAATATACACTAATGCGTAATTTATTCACAATTATTGTATTCCATTTCCAGCCCAACATATACATGTATGAATTATTATCTTTCATGTGACGGCAATGGGTAGACAAAGACGAAGCCTTTCAAGGTATTTATTAGTATACACCTGCTTATTTATTTTCACATTTGTTGAAAAATTAATAGAAAAAAATAAAGCACTCACGTGGTCCCTCTTGACGTACCAATACAGACTAAATACCATCAAAACCGCCATGGCATAACATCATGCAAACAAAGAATAAAATCAGTTAATTTGTGCGAGTAATGAAAGACGTCATTGTTACATCAAAAGACATAACATAGAAATGAACCATATCTTCAGCATCGCCATAATACCAATGTACTAAGCATATAACACATTAATGAAACACCTAACTACCGGTGTCACATTCATTGAATCATGCTAATAGCCTATATATCACTATATATACATTATATAATTTTACAACAATTATACCTAAAAGGGCTAAAACCTTATGTATGTGACATTTTTTCCCAATTCGTCGCCTTCATTTTAAATCAAATAACGTCAATATTCAGCTTGTGTCAGTATTTTAAAAACCGGACATAAAACTTAGTGAGCTAAAGTAAAATACTGTTACAACTGCTAAAAGAATCGCTTCCAAATGTGCGTACCACAGTGTGTTTTATTTATACGCAATCCAAGTATTCGTGTCAGACGTTCCACATTATTGTCTGGATTAGACAATAAAAACACAAAAATAACTTAAGTTGAGCTCCGCTATGATCGATGCGTTTTTTTCCGTTGTGTGATATCGTGGTGTTGGTACCACCCGGTTATTCAGTTGTCGTGGTAAGTACAACTAAGAGGAGAATGATTAACTGTATTCGTTATGTGGCTGTACAACTGTACAGTTATACAACACCCGCATTCCACAATACAATATAAAATGTACTCAAATTGGCTTTGTTTCTAATTTGGCAATTTATATCAAGTTATTGTATGCGAACATGACTATGCATGTGACCTTGGGATGGAATTTAATCTTTCATAATCTCTCACAATTGACCTGCTTTTCCGCATTAAACGATTTAAGTCTAAATTTGGTTTGATTCGATCTGAAATTTATTTTATTATAATTACTCTGCCACTGCTGTTTGAATGGAGGAATTGCAAACAGGATGACATAGATTATAAATTATATAAATATAATTACTGCGTTTGAATGAATCTTCACTGGGGTACAGAATAATCCAATACAGACAACATCTGGCCATCCCCAACGAGGCAAATATATTTTAAAATTACTGAATGGTTTTTCCGACTTACAATAAAAACAGGGAGTTGAATTATCAATATAAGTCGGCCTTAGAATGGATTTGAATGTAAATGATTTACAGGATTATACAACTCTACTTAGGATCAATCGAGATAGATACATTATCAACTTATGTCAACTAATAATGGGCATGGCAAAAACCGGTAAAATGAAACAAAATCTAGTAAAATTCTAGAGATTTAAAGAACAGCTACATGACTGGTTACCGTCCCACTGATTTGATCAAGTATTTTATTGTGTATTTTCAAATCTTAATCAGCAAATGTTTTACGTATGATGTTTGTGTTATTGTCATAAGTATGTAGCTTGGGTTCCAGTTGACGCCAGCTCAAATTTTGCTTCCCTGATGGACACTGAGAATATACACTACGCAACGCCATTCCTTGTTCGTTCAATTTCGTATGTTTGGCCTACAAAAGTTATCTAACCATATAACATCCAAATAAACCATATTGTCCCACCGAAATAAGCGGAACTCATTTAAGAGAATAAAGAGTGTGTGGCAAAACACGAACACATTGTCAGTAATTTGATAATTCATAAAAGATACATACGTGGACCGACGCTCCCCGAACGGCAGTGATACATATCATCACCGCCACCACAACGGTGGCTTGATTCATCTTCTTATCACGATAACGATGCGTTGGTGATCTACTAGGCACTGTAGAGAGGCAATAGTGTCCGTCTACTCCGACCACGAAGCTCGTATTGTGTTATGTCCAAAGTTTAAATCTACGGTAATCCCTGAATACTAATGTTAGCCTGGCATTTAAATACGCAAATATAATTTACATATGATTGACTTTATTGCTCCGAATTAATAGACGACGACAGGAAACATGTTTCAACACCGGAAATAGGAAAGTACTAAGGAATTTTTGAAGTATCTCGCGGGCGTTCAAGGATGAGTGCAATTTCAATTGGGAGTTGCTGATTTTTACCGTGATATCTCGTGAGGTTGAAGTTTAACATTAGACCATGAATTAGTTTTATTTAGCAAAAAGTAATTACAAAATCCATAAATAACCCAAGCATGAGCTAGTTTATCCCTCTACGTAACAACCGACGCAGAAAATATTTAATCGATGATATCCCCATAGCAACCCGTCAACGTCATGTTAGCACCTCAGCGTCAAGCCATGTCATGCCTAGCACGGTCATTTGTACGACTATATTAACACGTTACAGAATTACAGAAGCGAACGAATGAGTATACTGATGTACCTAAAATACTTTGTCTTAGCTGGAATTAGTTTCGCTAAAAAGATTTTTTTAGTGTTTTGTATAGAATTTATTTTCACTGATTTTTGACGAGTTGAATGTAAAATATGGAAAAAGGTATATTCACTGAATTTTATTTTCAATGAATCACTTCTTCAGCAAAAATAGCGAAAATATATTCCAAGCGAAAATAATTTTACAGTATTCCACAGTTAACAAACATAAATATTTACGCACAAATAATTATTTCCTGTTTAGACAAAAACAACAACATCATAAACACTTTTGATAATATACATATATACATTTTGTAAATCAAACTTCATTTGCTGCCAAATGCGGATTCTAAACTAACTCTAACTAAAGTCAGACCACACTATCTGAAGCCAACACATGTCAGATCAATCAATGCCGATCCTAATAACTATGCCATAATTACAGTGGCCCTGTTACATGTATCAAAATCGACTTTGCATGCTATTCATTTATATATGTGCATTAATGTGTTTAAGAATAATTTAATGTTCAATAGTTTTAATCTCTATACAACATACGTATATTGGAACTTGAACCGGAACGATCGACAGTGTACCATAATCCGCTGTTATCAGTGATTAACATGGTAACACGTTCTGTCGCAATGCCACACGAATGATATAACATCAACAGTTCAATCACGTCCAGCGCGACAGAGTATGCTATAGATTTAGCTCGGTAATTGGTTTGATCACCGTTCTGTAGGCTAAACCTCGTACACATATTGTACTCATTCGTAGGTATGGTCTTTCGTATAAACAAATAAATTATAAATAAATTATGGTCATTGAAAATGGTTGTACAATGGCACTAAAATAGAATGTGTTTTATAATACTGATTCATCATCAATTGCATTGAATTTACTCCCAGCTCAGCTTTAAATAATTTTCACTGTCGAAAATTTCACAACTTTAATTTTCGAGGTGTGGGGGTGGTCTTCGGAAAGCCGCCCATAAAGAAATCTCGATATATCAATCCCAATATTATACTACCACTTGTACGCCAGCTGAATTTAATTACAATGTACTCAGTCGATGATTAGGCTGGATTGCGAGTGCAACTCGAAGCCGATTTATACACTCTATCTTGGTTTGGTAAGAATTTGTTTAAATGTTTCATTTTGCACCTATGCATAACATTCTAAGCTCAATCTCTACTCCAGACCAGGCATTAGGTAAAGTGGAAGACTTATATATACATATTTACATTGTGTAATGCTTATTGGTGCTGGACTAATTCACTAAAAGGATGCTGATTTGGCATGTTAATTGGTTATGCTAATTATCCTACAGTATGATATATAATTTGGGATTGTAGCCAGCTTTCACATCTTTTGAAAACTGAATATTTTTGTCATTGAACTAGAAACATGTGAACTCTACATCTATCTTCATTAGAATTTACTCATAGACGTGTTGCATTGTTACATGTGTTGTGCACAATGAACTAGAATAGAACACATACTTTCATCACAGCTGAATAGAACTTATTATTACTAATACTAATTAATTGTATTACTATGTATTTTTATAACAGAACACCATTAGCCCAATGACATGTGCGTTCATTTAAAGAAGGCAATATTTATCATCTGTCTTATCTGACCTTCGATTACCTAACCAGAGTGCCATCATATACGAGGCCAAGTAGTTTATAGGTCCTTTGATAGTTAAAATCAAGCCTTTGAATAGTGTAATCAATCAATCAATCGATATGAATCTACATAACAAGTTGATGCCTTCATGGCAAGTGGACCCACATCTCTCTCGAAATTGATCGGTCTCTGTCTCAAAGACAATCTCTCGCATCTAACAAATTCAGTTTCCAAAATAATCAGATCCAGATGATATGTAACCGATTCTTGCCTGTATGAAAACCCCTACGATCATCTGTCCACAATGTTAGTTATCTTGTGATGAAATATCATTACAAAAGTGTTCCATTGTACCGGCATCTGGATTCTTACTGAAATTCAGAATAATCTGTCGACAATTTTTGTTATCTTGTAATGAAATATCATTAAATATGTGTTTAGATCTTCCATGGCACCTGGATCTGGATCACCCCAAAATCAAAACTCCTCAATAATCCCTTGTGTTTCGTCCATAACTTTCTGGAAATAGTGACGAATCCTTCAATGTATTCCATAAAATGTCAATAAGATGTTCCCATACACTAAAATGATTAACAAATTTTTAATTTAAAATAATTTCATTGCTCTTCCGTGTCTAATGAACCATTTTCCGTTATGTGCCTGTGCGGGTGTTTCAAATACTTATTATTACTTTGGTGGAACCTTGCCCAAGGTTCAAGATACTCGCTCAAGACTGGTAGACGCCATGATTACTATGACGTCATCACGTTGGTCCTAATATGGAATATATCCATAGCAAAATTTACAACATTGCAATTTGAACAAACAACATGTGAGGAGACCAAACAGTCAAAGAACGTGCCACTAACCCTAACATTATTGTGCTATAATACTAATAACTCTCAGTACTTTAACACATCGAAGTAACATGTCAATGAGAGAACAATTGCAACAGGGCCCTCGTGGATGGAATATTCATCTTGAGATTTGACAGGTTACAGACTGCCAAGTGGACATAATATGGTTAACCACATACTAGAAATTGAACATTTGATCATACATTGGAAGAGAATTTTCCAGGCTTATGCAATTATATTGTATTACTTATTAGATATACATTTTCCAGTTCATTCGCTATGCTAGAGTATGCTAGGCTGAAGTATAGCTTTTAAAAAAAGCCTCTAAACACATACTTATTTTTGTGAAATTATACCTCTTTTTAAGTGCAGAAACTTAAAATAGATACCCTATATTCATACAAAAATCATACTGTTTCCAAGTTGAGGTAACATGAATTCATGAGATTCCGTTTTTCCCACTCTATTTTTTAAATATTCTACCCCAAACACGATACACGTGTATACGGGTAAAATAACTAATTAACACCCATTTTACGCGTTTTTTGCGTACCATATGTTATTGTATGCAGACTTGTTGAAAAAAAATCTGTCCCTTCCGTCCAACCATTAAACCGAGTGTTATGTGTAGAACGATACGTCTAAACATTCAATTTTATTTAAATGCGATAGCCCTGTTACAGATATTCGATTTCGTAGATGACATCAGTATCATCAGTTTGGTATGGGTGCCAGGTTTCAAAATTCAAAAAGAAACCCCTTGATTAAAATTTAAAATGATATATGGTGGGTGCAACATGTGGAGCATCACCTGACATTGTTTCATGTATATTACGATACATATATGTTTCCCTCTCATTCACTAATTTGACTCATTTGGTAATGTCCATTTTGTGTCAGTCATTTGCTTTGTTGTGTTCTTGAATTTGTGAATTGCGTTTTTACTACAGATATGGATATGTATGTTATTTATGCTTTGTAAATAGGGTTGCTTACGGTGCATTGCTTATCCATTAATACATACAATGTCCTCCCACACGATTGACCCCCAATATGTCAACCACATACATTGCAGCATATGTCACCTTTCCTGTATTCGGGCATGAATGAGAAGAGGGGTTAGCACATACTCCAGAAACATGTGTCACCCCTCATTAATCTTTGCTGATTATATTGAGGAAGCAATAACGAGAACGTATTTCAACACTCACTAAGCGTCAATTGATTGCGAACTCTAGTATTGAGTTAGTAGCAATGGTACAGCAGTTGATGAGTGAATTATAATGTCACAGTACCCACAGATGTATTAAGGACAAATGAAACAATATAGATGATAATATATGTTTTGTAGGTGTCATTTCCTGTTGTCATGACATTTCTCAAGAATGAATAATGAACATATATTTTGTTGTGACCTTTGACCTCATTAGCATAAGCTCAAATGAGCTGCTGACAGTTCTCAGAATCTCTGAATGCCTAATCCGCGAATGTCCAAACACTTTGAACGCTCATTAACTGAAACAAATAGAAGGGAAGATGCTCCACGAGGATTACGTGAAATAACAGTAATTATATAGGCTAACCAGCATCGGTTAAACGTGTTACTGTGACATTTAGAGTAAAATACGACATTTCGATACAACACTGCGTTTAACAATTAAATGACACATTCCCATAAGCACCACCGTTTATGAGTATTTAAAACATGTATCATAGACAATATTTCAAACTTCAAGGAAAAACTACATCCTTGATTTCATGAAATTACATAGTTACTATTAATAGATACCGGAATGTCTGCTCCGCCAAGATGCAAACAATAATAGATAATATTAATGTTAGTGTCTTACCGAACTAACCCAGAGTCAATACTGCTTCCTAGAACTAAGGAGTTCCACTTTTTTCAAAATTAGAACAAGATCCTTCAGTCAGACCATATAACATGAATTTGAATTTTCTGCACACAATGCTTTCCCCCATGTATCCGCAGTCAAAACAAAACCATGGCTGCCGTTTCACCTTTAACCTCAACAAGGTTAACAAACTCGCCACTAGATGGCGCCTTCACCTTATTTTACATGTCTTGTTTCTCTCAAGAAATTACTATGTTTGAACTCACAGTTGAATACGATAATAATAGTATTCAGGATTTGGCCGTTACATGTTTACACATTTCTGTACTTATTTTAGGTACTCAGTACAACCTGGCATATATAATATAGTAGTCGTCGCGCCACGCATGCGCGAGATATACGAGTCAAATATAAACAAATATGGCAACCTTGACTGTTGCGCAGATCAACGAGTACTTTAATTAGGTATTGTTTTTGGTGATTGGAAGGTATCTAATGAGTCACCCAGCTCAAACCTCATACTTATGATTTCCATTAGAAGAGCGTATTGGATTGTAGGAAAATCAATGTTTATCAACACAAACGTCGGACATGCGCAGCGCGACGAACATCATCCTTTAAGAAAGTTGTATTATGCTAAATATATGCGATTTAATGTCATTCATTGGGAATAGTTGGCTCACCCACGTGATTTTCGGATTGACAATTTATATTTATTCATTTAGCCAGTATTTACCGGATGCGTATTACCCACTTATAAAATTATTTTCTCTTAACGAACACGAAGCTCATTGACAGACTCAGAAATAGGCTGGTTAGTGTTTAATAAACATACTATCGATTGGTTTCTGTTGCGTGCTATATGAAAATGGTGTACTTTTATCGACTTTTATTTGCGATGACATTTGGCCTCGCACGTCTGTGTTACGCAAGCTTGTGGGGTGAACCATAGCTCAATACACATCCTAATGTCTGAACATAAAAAAAAATAATGACACCAAATTCATCAGAAATGACTAAAATACAATCACAAAGACTGAAGACCGACACAAGAAGAGGTATGAACCCACAATCACGTTTCAACTAAACAAGGTTGACTGTAAAAATACGCTTTACGACCAACAGTTGATGTTGGTTGCGATCACGCCGTAGGCGACAGCAGAGTATGATACTTTTGTCGATGGTGGCGCTATAGTACAACGCATCACCACCGCAATTGTAAAGCTCTTTCTATTTCGCATATATTGCTTACCCAGAGTTAGCGGGACCAGCGCAATACAAACGCGACCTTGATAATAGGATTGTGTTCAAATAATAGAAGCTGACATTTTTGGACCAACATTATGTAATTGAAACACAAAATATAAGTATTAGAGGGATTACAAAAGGGGCTATAGTTAATATGGGCAGATAATTTG